TTACAATCCGATCTATAATCCGATCTATAATCCGATCTACTTAAATCACATGATACTACCTGGCTTTAGTGTTCCCCCAAATTTGGAAATCTAATTATATATATTATTTCTATTGTTGCTAAAGTATTCGCACGTGACCTATATGCGCCTAGAAAATATTGCTAAATGTGCTCAACTGTCTTTTAACATTCTCGCAGTACTTCAATATAGATTTATACTCGACTCTACGTTTCATGTTAATACCCTCGTTTGCTTTTTCATTGTAATTCTCGCCATTTTCGCAAGTATAAACTCCATTCTCGTCTTCAATGCAACCCTCAATTCCCTCCCTTTCAATGACTTTATCATGAATCTCCGAGTTCTCATCCTCATTTAATATATCATCCTTCAGAAACATCCACTTCGCCTTACTACATTTCGCCCGCTCATCCAGTAACCAGTTAACATATTCACGTTCTATTAATCTCCTGTCGATAGAATTTATCTGCCTAAATGTCGATAACAAATCATATCTTATCACGGCCACCCTCTTACGAGCGTATTTTATCTCTTCAGATAATCGTCGGCTAGAGTAGAGTAACCATGGGTAGGGTGGGTATTCAGTCCGCGTATCCAAAAATTGACTGTAGCTATAACACAAAACATTAAATCCAAAATAAAAATTTTTTTAATAGCCACAGATATATAAGCGACACGTTATTAAAAGAAATACCTCTCAGGATCCACAACACTATACAATACTTTTTCGTTGCTTATATTGAACACTTGTTCTTCCAAATCACGAATATATACTGCGGGGACCGATGGGACAACTTTTGTGGAAGACTCGGAAAATTTGCTATAATTTTTACTGTACATAAACGAAGAGATATTCGTTGCAAACAATACAACTAAAATCGCAAATAATAATCCACGCAAACTCATATTCAACATTGGGTTCATTAGAATCGTGGAAAATGTTCCGGTATATTTACTATCATCCGATGGTATTAAATGTGCAGTAACATTAGATTCCTGTGTTCTGTTTATCGACCCTGCACTGCCAGTAATGCTTTCTTCACCGCTAACTGTATGTTTAACCGTGGAATGGTTACGATTCTTGTGTTGACGATAATTATGCGCCCGACGTCGAAGCGTGGTAGTCGATCGCGTTGGTGAATTTGAAAACCCTTTAGATTTTCCACGTGCAACATCCACGTTTAGTAATTCTATGATGTCTGACACGGTGTCGGATAATCTAGATAATGCTGCTTTCCGCGCTGCTATAAAAGTCAAATATGTCAACAACTGGAAATATCACAAGATAGCACAATGACAATTAATCAAATACCTCTGGATATTGTCCCTTTTACCGGTTTTATACCAATATGACATGCCAATTTACACGAAGTTTTAGTCTCGTATGTAATGCACCATTTGGACATTGAAATAAGTGAATTGTTGTGCAACGGTTTGGTTTGGACCAACACAACATATCGTCTTTGAAAATTCGTTTCGTTAGTTTCTGCGATAAGCTAAAAAAAGAAGTAGAAAACGTTCGTAGAAGAACTTACATATAATCATCACATCTCTGAAATGTGTGCGTCTCAATTAATTCGGTTTCCTTTGTTTCCTTTGATTTTGCTAATTGAATGAACGTTAGAAAAATATTAACAAGTCATTCCATTATTTAAAATCAAGTCATCATGTGTCACATACAAGCAGAACTATTGATTGGCATAATAAGTCTGAATTCCCGTTGTTTCACACCGTCAACACCCATCACCCAAGAACCAACATGCTGCAAGGTAAGTCTCTCTTTCTGATACATTCGCTCCCATAATGAATTATTCTCGTCAAATAAAATTTGATACAGTTTTCGAGCTGGTATCGGATATTCAACAATCACTTTTGATTCGTCAAGATGATCAAAACATTCACATGAAATAGGGCTCTCCGGAAGGTTTATTTCCGACGGATATTCCTCATCTGAGTTCACATCGAAAATTGGATATACATAAGATCACCAATTAAAATTAATGCTCTGAATTGGAAATATTTTTTACCTTCTTTCAGGTGGATCGCAAATGGCTCAGGTTTGGGTGCCACCAAATAACTAGCTTCCTTATTTTTTCTATTAAAAAAAAAGTTATCGACAGACCAACCGTAAAAATCCAAATATTTCGCGAATACCCACTGATTATTCTGCAATTCCTCGTTTTCAGGTGAAATACCACTCTCTTCACGATTAATTCTACTAAATGTTCCGCCATCGTTTACACCAGTATTATAACCCTTGTTGTGCATACTGCCAGTCTCCGATTGAGCCCCCAGCTCGTGTGTATATTTTCCTGATGATAATGCTTCGTCGTGAGGTGTCTCGATCTCACTTTGTTTGACGGTCAACTTTTCGCTGTATCTTTCAGAAGACTCATTTAAACACGGTGATGTATTGGGCTTCCATAACGCATCGTATATACTCTGCAATGATTTAACCTGTTTTGAAAAGATTCAGAATTTAGTCTTTTTTTTTTTTTTTTAATCATCAATAAATCGACACGTACTTTTTCATCTGTGGCAAGTTTCCAAACTAAATGTACTTTATCATAGAACGATCTACTGTTATCCAAGAAAACTTTAATAGTGTACTGAATCGGGTATAAATTTTAATTGTAGGAATTTAGTATCTGTGAACGATAATTTGGTTTTCTATTCAAATGTTTGTTTTGATACCTTTTTACCGTTCTCATCGGAAATCACCACGGTTTGTTGAGGGTTTGTCGCCTCAAGCATCACGGATTTTATTTCCCGCCATGGAATACAAAACTATAAAACGGCGTAAAAATTAACAGGTTGATGGAAATACAACAATGATTAACTATTCGATCGTACCGTATTAAAAACGCCCATCACCATTGAATAAAAATAAAGTCGATCCTGCGTGAAATACACGCGACCTCTGAACAAATTATCTTCCTTTATCAACCCGCATTGATACACTTTAAAAGGAATGTAATCGTGAATAACATCTATTAATGAATTATTGAAAATGCGATTAACAGAAAACAATTGAATAAATAATATTACCATCCAGCAAAAATTCTTTCTCTGGCATGCTTTTAAATAATCGGTGAAGTTGCGAATTGTGTAACAGCAATGTTTGCGGATATTCTGCTATTGACCTATATGTGCAAAAACACTCTTTCCTCAATGTTTTAAATCCTACTACAGTAATTGTGATCACCGCACGTAATAAATGTTACCCACCCGTCAATTCCAGATCCAACAGGTCCACTCCCGCTACGTGATCGGTTTTTTTTACCTTTCCTTTTTTCTCCCAAATTCTCACCATCCTCATCCCCATCCCCCTCCGATCCATTAACGCTATTGATCAACGCATTCATCGCTGGCATTATACCCCACTGAATGCTACCCCAGAAATTCTGTTGATTAGATGGTGCTGAAGAAGATGAGGTCCTTTCGTTAACTCCGCCTGCTAACTGATTTAGCGGCGTAACGAGTTGATTCCCATTAATACCATTATTGCTATTATTGGCAATTGTTGAACCTTGGCTCTTCGGAGGTAATGAGTTGCTATGATGCGATAATGGTCGTGAAGCTGGAGCCGTGGTGGATAATGTAGATAACGAATGCCTTTTACTTATATTATTGACGGAGTTTCGCCTAGATTCTGAAGTGGGTAATTCCAATGTGGTATTTTGCGAGTTTTCGGCATTATATTTAGGAAGGGATGCGGAATCATCATTGGATTGTTCACCTTCTTCAGTAGCAGATTGATTTGTGTCGTCTCTAGATTCTTTGTGCGAACTTACTGCTGCGGCAGCAGAAGATGTTAGATCGCTCGAAGAACTAAAGGCATGACGCTTAGCTGACTCAAAACTTGTAATCCAGTCTTTGAGCTCCGATTCTGTTTCTGCCTGAAGTACCCACGACGTTCTTTAACACATTATCATATTGATGATTAATTAAATTCTTCAGTATCTGCAATGATTAAAATTAAATGAATACTCACGATTTTGCCCCGCAAACAATCTCGAAACAAAATCTTCGATCTTGCAAAGTATCAACTTTCACTTCGCAAAGTAAAACTCCTATCTTTTCGCTCTCTTCTACAGTAGAACGTTGCTTTCCATGTCCTGCAGACGCCCACCAAAATATCCCATCCTGTAAAGAAAAATATTTTCGTGACCAGGATCCTTTCCCGTTTAGTGGCTTCATAAACAAATAGCCTTGTTTAAATGGTCTGTTATCGGTTTTTACGGAAGATGAAGAATTATTTTGCAAAGGCTCTGATACGGGATGGATGGATATGGCGTTTGTGGTGTTATCTTTGTATGTTGTTAATGTTCGCTGAGGTTTATTCATGTTTATTGCTTCCTACATAAAGATATAAAGAATCACTATTAATTTTTGAATATTAAAGTTGTGTTATCGTAGATTTCCTTGACATACATCTTCTAGCTTCTTCTTCGTATCCATGATTACTGGTATCTGCAATTCACTGCATTTTTTACTCTAAAAGATTAAAGCGGCATTAAATTTGTTGATTATATGAACCTAACACCATCATTAAAAAAAAACTATTACCTCCCATAACCAACTCTTTAATATATTCATTTGATTCTCAGAACCTGAGTATATCATCGCATTTGCATTGTAGAAATCTAGGTGTGCATATGTGCCGCCCAGAAACTACAAATAGAAAAAAGGGCAGTTTGACTGACTAATTCAAATCAAACAAAAATTTTTTTTCTGCTAGCAACAAAGAAATACAAACAATTTCCATAATTAAATGATCTGCTGCTGTTCTAAACTGAATAATCTTCAATGTATAATCTAGCGCGGTACGTATGTATGTTTTTCTTATTTCAAAAAGTTGGAACGCATCCTGCAGTTTTCAAGGTCAGATGAATAAATAGATTCCTTTTAATATTTCCAAAAAGAAACGCTAACCTCTCGCAGGGCACTAGCCTCTTTAGTTTTTGATTGTGATGTATATTTTGTTAGCGTGTTATCATATTTTTCTAAGGCTTTATCAAATGCTCTCCGTGATTCCTAATTCATAAAAAGATGAGTTCTTTTTTTAAATAATATCTAAAGAATATCATTGATATTAATAAACTTATATACTTTGAAATCCTTTAAATCATTTTTTATAAAAGCAGCTAGTGGTTGTATCAATCTCTCTTCTATATCATTAACCTGTGTAGAAGAAATTCCACGTCACCAGGTCAACGTAAATGTAAGGGCATACATACAAGAAAAGAAGATGCATTAGATCGTCTTATACGAACACACCTCTAGTATCTTTGTGATCTTGATGAATATTGACGTGTAATTACCAATTTCGCTTTAAATGCTAATGTGGTTTGGAACGTGTCAGCAAGGACTCTTACGGTGGGAAATGTAAAATCTCGATCTATGCAAAATAATAGATCACGATTAGAGAGATGCGAATATACAGTAACTTCTGAAAATTATTAAATAAACACCTAATATTGAATCCTCAACTGAAGAATGCAAAGCGCGCTTGACTAGATTACTACTTGCATCAGTTAATTCTTTTAACATATAAATAATTAAGAAGAAAAATTAGGAATAAAGATAATAAAATTCATGTCAATTGTAAAATGTCACGAGACTCACTAGAAGATTCGTCAACGTAATGTCTTAAGGCTTTCCAAAATCCATCTAACCATTTCTCAAAATGATCTACTTGCTCTTCAACTTTTCGGATATTTGCACGAAATTCTGGTGTGTCGTGAATGGCTGCTTGAAAGTCCGGAGTGTTGAAAACAGATTCAGGTGAGAGTGGAAGTACTACTGCAGCTGACATTATCGATCGAAACAGATTTTTTAATTTTGAAGTGGTGTTTGATGTAAATTCTTATGAAGATGGAGATCGCAGTCGGTGGCTTGATCATATGTGTATGTACTGCTTGCACAGCCTCAATTCTTTCTATGTATTACTATTTTAGGTAATAATAAATAATTATTGTTCAAATACTAAAATAATTTTTTATTTTTAATTCCACAATCAGGTTTATATCACATGTTATCAAATCATATTGAACCAGTAAATTTTTATTACAATGAACCTTTTCTAAATGTACATCTCTTAGAACAGAAAAATTTTTTAAAATGTATTTATAAAGAGTATATATTTATAAAAATAATTTTATTAAAGAGTTTCATATATTTTGAATCAAGCTTAACCGTGTATTTAGAAAAAAAAACAAGTATATTTAGAAAAAAAATTTTCAGAAAAAAATTTTTTTTATTTTTTTGTTTATTAAATATATATTATTTTTTTATTTAATTTATATAATAAAGAATACAGTATATATTATAAAAAAAAACAATATTTTTTATATTTATATACAATAAATTTAATATTAATTTACTTATAAAAACCAGTTAATTAATATTGAAAAATATTTTTAAAATAATATATTTTATTAAATAATATTAAGTAATTATAAATATTTATTTCAAATTAAATATTAAAATATTAAAGCAAATAAAAATTAATTATAAAATATAATTAAAAACTTATATTTATATTAAATAAAGTATTTATAATTATAAAAAATAGATTTATAAAAATTATATTTTATAATAACTTAATTAATAAATATTTAAAAATTTTATTTTTTTATTTTTTTTTTTTATAGTGGAATGTGCGCATGGTGCATAATCTTTATTGATATGATTTTATATCCAGATAGACACCAAGTGTCTTTTACAAATTAACCAACGATTGGTTGGTACAGGATACCCTTTATGTCTTTACAGTTAATCTGTAAGTTAACACTGCCTAGTGCATATATTACTATAAGACTAGC